GAGAGAGAGAGAGAGAGAGAGAGAGAGAGAGAGAGAGAGAGAGAGAGGACAGCAGAGAGCCCATCTACAAACCAAAGGCTTGGTTTACATGCACACTAATATTCTGATTATGACAATATTCCAAATTTGACACGGGTCATGTAGACAGCATAGTCTGTGTGGATATTCCGAGCTTATTCCAAATGGAGCATCTTCTGATCAAGACGTGGAATATGCCGATAAAAAAGTAATTTAGGAGCATAAGAATAGGCACGGCCACATGTAAAAGGGAATATTAGAGCAATATTAATTTTCATTAGTTATTTAAAGGCAGGAAAACTGTCTTTTTTGGAATAAGGGCAAAAAACAGAATATTTGGTGCATGTAAACGGAGAATTCTACATTCAACAATTGGTTGGTACCCAAAAACTGCCCACAACTTCTGTGTACGTTCCCCGACTCAGTTGAAATTTATTTTTGCTGAGGTGTGTTGCTGTAATTCTCTGTGCTGCCGCCAGCCCTTCTGTGGCAGCTGCAGTAAACAAATGCAAATTACATAACTGAGAATGTATTGCAGAGTCTACACTGTCTCATAAATTTCAGCTTATTAAAATGTCTCTGGGTGTGCCTCTCTCTCCTGATGACACCAGTGTTGGCCTGTTTGGCAACAGTGTGGAGAGTAAGCGTCAAGAGTCATTAGGCAGGAATCCTTCTGTCGCCTCACCATCCCTCCCATCCATGTCCTCTGTCCTCTAAAGCATCCACAACTATGGAGCAAAGTGCAAATTGGGAGATGGAATGTTAACTTGTGCTCTGCCCTGATCTCGTTATGAAACCCTCAGTTTTTCCGACGGTGTCCTCAGCAGCATTAAGTTCCATAAGCTCGCCTGGCTCGGAGGCTAACCACAAGGCCTACATGACCAAGATTCACCAGCATCTTCTCTCAGCCCACAACAAGGTCTCAGTCATTATTGTTGACTAGCACTGTGCAAAACAAAACACATTCACTCAAGCTTGAGTCCCCTATCCAACACTTCAGGGGTTTTTTCTTCTGAAAATCAAAAGAGCACAGCTGAGTCTTTGAGGAATTTTTTGATTGAGGAATGTGTCAAAGTGTGTCAAATGTGAAAGTCTGCACATTTTCATATCCACTCTGATAGCCCTTGTGTTTGAACATTTGAAACATCTTCACTTTCTATTTCCCAAGCATTCCTGACATACCAAAAAACGTACCCCCCCCACACACACACACACACACACTGGCAGGCTAAACACTTTCTGCAGATACAACACCACTATAATACATATACTGGTCTGCTCTACATGTCAGTGGAAATGTTCTATTTTCTTAGTGTTATGTTAAGTTTGTGAAGTGTACTGTTGTGTGTATCTGTGCATAGGGCAGAGTGCTTACGTTACACCTTAATGAAACACACATTTCCTGCGCCACATGTGCATGATGCCTGTCTAACCATTGTTAGTCTATGGAGATGTAGGTATAATGTCAGCAGTCAGATCGCAGAGGTCTTCTCAGGCGCTAGGTGAGGCGTTTATGGTGATGGTGCTTAGTTTGAAACTTTTCAACGCTCACAATGCACATGCACACATTCAAATATATCCACGAACAAATATCCACCTTTGTGATCTCTTGTCATCTCTTGCTTATGTCATAGACAGTTATTTCACCAGACAGACGTGGTTAGAGACTGGCTGGTGAACAGCAGTTAGTGGAGACCAAAGCACAGGTTTGGTATGACCTCAATAATAAATGTATAATTGAATTCACACACTTCTGACAGAATAAACTCCATAAAAGTAGAATTAATGGCTGTTGTATTAATTTCAATAACTAATAAAAAGAATGCCTCAAAAAATATAGTGCTGTGTGCTTATAAAAACACATTTTCCTGACATGGTGTGAGCTGAACATACAAGTTAAAATGTTGAGCTCATAGTATTGATCAGCATGGTGTAACTAACAAAGTGTTGTATCGATTGATCTATAAATCTTTTAGTTTTTTGATCATGAACATTAGTTTTGTCTTTGTTCATGATGACGTGATGTTATGATATTTCAAAATCAATATTTCAGGAGCTCACCGAAATCCCAGAGTACTGATGTGCTGGCTGCCCAGCCTGGAGAGGGTCTTCTTGGCCAAGTCCTCCAAGTTGTTGGAGCCCTCGTCATTGACCACCATGGCCAGTATGAGCCCCACCTCCACACCATCCACATACTTTGCAAGGCGACGACTCTCATCCTTACTACGGTATGTGTCAAACCTGTGGAAAGTAAGGGAGGGAAAAAGAGAAGAAAATCATTCTTGCGTCCATTCATCCTAAAACAAAGACGGGCCAGAAAATGCATTTTGAAAACCACTCTGCATGTAAAACAGTCCTCGGTACTCTATCAACCTCCAACAGCTATGATGTCGTAATTCCCCTATCTTAAGAAATTCATCATTGGGTTCCTGCCAAGACCAGTGATATATGGGTCACAAATCCTCCCTTCTACTTGCACTAATTTACATCCTGAATAAATATGGAGATTGTAATAACAGAGCTGTACATTGCTGTAGAGGCAAGGGTTTCTCTGCACATTTCATCTAGCAAAAATATGCATCTGAATCAGGTGCTTCCCAGAACAAGGACAGCAAACAGACCATGTTTGTGTGTGTTTAATTGAACGTGTTTCACATAAGATATAAAAAGGAATGAAAATGTTAAAAGGCAACAAAATGAATAAAAATTGATTAAAGAAAAGAGTGTATTTACAGTACAGTTTAGGCAACATATTTAATAATTGGCATAAAAGTGAAAATCAATCAAAAAATTATAAAATAATATATTACTGTGTGGTGCACCACTATTAATTAGGGGAAAAACCCTATAATTAAACTAGGCAAAATGTCCACATTGCGTTGTGGTAACTGTACACTTTGTGGTAGCACAAAATGCACTTAAGACAAAAAAAAGACTAGTCCAGGTCCACAATGCAAATGTGCTTTACTTATATGAATATGATCAGATTTAGAAATAAAAGTATCATATTCATCAAAAGATAATCTGCACCATCTCATGTAGCTAATACACTGAGGGATGAATATGCAAAGAATGGACCGCGGCCACTGGGAGCACCAGGAATTGAGCGTCAAAAGATATTAGGCTAATAATATTACAGCGCAAACACAAACATGGAGTTTTGCAGCTGAGTGCAATTATCCATATAAATGTGTGTGAGTGCAATGCGTCGGGGATGAGGGGTGAGAGATGCTTCCAAACCTCAGGGAAACATTTAAGCCCAGGATGTGGGAAAGGTGGGAGAGGGAAGAAATTATTTGTTTAATTGTTTATATAATAACCATGTATGTTTTTTTCTTGTTTTTTTCGCATGTACTTTCGAAGATGACATGAGGGGAGATTTATTTTTCATTGATTTATTTTAATTTCCAAAATAAATGAGCGGAGACCCCATATAAATGTGCTTCAGTTAGCACCAACTCTCTGAAGACACTAATAATTTCACTGTAACTGTGTCTGGCTCTTAGCACTGATCTTTGTGAATTACACTGTTTGCGTATTTGCATAGAAAGGGGCCGATTATGTGCCAAATATCTGCATATTAGTTCATTTAAATACATGCAAATAGCACAGGAGCACTGAGACACTATTTGCTTGACAGCACAGTTAGAGGGGTTTCCAAGGTTTATGGTTGCTTTGAGAATCATTTTTCTTTGAAAACCTTAACTCAGGCTGCCCACTCAGAGGCTTGGAGACTAAAGGAGCATTTCTGATAAAACTCCAAACACCTGTTTTTCTTTCTTTCTCTGATAAAAAAACATTAATAATAAATGTAAAGGAAAAAAATGATATCAATTTCTCCATTTAATATCTGTGTGTGATACAAAGCCAGAGCCATTAGATGCACATTTGTTTCCTTCACTACAACCTTGGGGTTAGACAGCTTAGTAGATGTCAGCCAACACTCCATTTCTGCTCTAATTAAGAGTTTCATGATCGTTGAACAGCCGAGACGCAGCCTCTGCTTTGAGGGGACCCTTACCTGTCATCGTGCAGCACCTCTCCGGTCTTGGGGTCGATGACGTGGATAATGATGCCTCGGCTCCCCCAGCCTCTCTGGAACAGGTAGTTGTTTTGGTTGCTCTCTCCGGGGTGGAGGGTCTTGTTGAGGAACGTCCATGACAGCTTCTTTTCTCCGTGGATTTCTAGTGTCCCTCCTGTCCCCACACCAATGTACTTCCTCCCAAAGTAGCTGTGTTCATTATCACTGTCATCCAATCTGAGAACAGCATGGGAGAATTATGGACATTTTAATATGTATGTCTATCTACAAATGCCATTTGAGGAAAGTAAGTATGCTTTAGTCTTCCTGTTCATGACCTTAATGTTGAAATCACACGTCATCATATTTATGTCTTCAACAGGACTGAAAGTCTAGTCTATAGCCATGCTAGCAGCTCAGTGAGGTAGCATTTAGTAGTACAGCAGTAGCAGCAGCAGTAGTAGTTGTAGTATTAGTTGCAGTAGTGGTAGTAGCAGTAGTAGTAGTCATAGTAGTAGTAGGGCTAGTAGGGGTAGTATCAGTATCAGTAGTAGTAGCAGTAGTAGTAGCAGTACTAGTAGTCGTGGAAGTAGAAGTAGTAGTAGCAGTGGTAATAGCAGTAGTAGTAGCAGTAGCAGTAGTTACTGTAGTAGTTACTGTAGTAGTAGTCGTAGTAGTAGCAATAGTTGCAGTAGTAGTAGGCATGGTATTAGCAGTAGTAATAGTAGCAGTAGTAGTAGCAGTAGTAGTAGTATTATTATTTGCAGTAGTAGTAGGGGTAGTAGGGGTAGTAGCAGTAGTAGTAGCAGTGGTAATAGCAGTAGTAGTAGTAGTAGCAGTAGTTACTGTAGTAGTTACTGTAGTAGTAGTCGTAGTAGTAGCAATAGTTGCAGTAGTAGTAGGCATGGTATTAGCAGTAGTAATAGTAGCAGTAGTAGTAGCAGTACTAGTAGTCGTGGAAGTAGAAGTAGTAGTAGCAGTAGTAGTTGCAGTAGTAGCTAGTAGTAGTAATTTAGTTTTTAAAGGTTGTCCCTAGTGAACAGAAATATGCGGACTATTCGTGTCCCTGTATACGAAACTAATAGATGTTATTTAGTGACAATTTCACAAAGTGCATTGAGACTGTATTGGTTTTCATGCTGAACTTCATACAACTGTACCTTCCATAAAGGGAGATGGTGAGGTTGCCTTTAAAAGGACAGGCTGGGCTTCCAATGTGCAGTTCCCCCTTGTTCCCGATCAGAATGTGTTTTGTTCGAAGCAGTATGGCCCGGTTGGTGTCAGCAATCACCAGCTTTCCTAAAGGGGAGAGAGAGGGTGGAGGGGTTGTGGTGATGAAGCCTCCTGGCAGGCCATTCATGCTCCAGTGCCCTCAGACCTGTCTTACCATTTAAGGCCCTGGGCTCAGTTTGTACACAGACACTGAACAGATGTAGCTGGCCAACCAGCAGCGTTACCAGGTCTACAGTCCAATGATTCCAGTTCATCAGTGACGTGGTGATCTGTTTAACCTCAAACATCATCTCCTATATGTGCTACTTTTCTCTGAATGGCAGAGGCCCTGCTTTCACCACCTTCTTGTCTTAAATAATGTTACTCTGTTTGTGCTTTAGTACAATATATTAAAGTATAAAATATGCCAAAATTATTCCAATGGCTATTTTAAAATTGTAGTCCCTGGCAAAGTTGTTACAAAAGACTTCGTAAAATATAGTATTTGAAAGATAATTCAGTCAAATATGATAGAAAACTGTAAAATAATCAGAGCATTTTAGGTATCTGCCTATAGCACTAATATCCTCCTCAATTTACTCAGAAAAACACAACAAACATTTTCATTTGAATCATTGTGTTCGGCAAGCTAGCCAGAGATCCCTTAACTAGTCTGTTCATTTGAATGAAAAAACACCTTCATTTCAAAACCTTACAACTCCTTTAAAACAAGCAGATATTCCATTAAATTTAACTAATATATTACAATCCCTGAAAAATAATTTTAAATGCATTGTGTATCGCAAAATGTGTATTTTCATGGATTCTGTTTCATTAGTGAAGAAGAGGCTGGGCTGGTGGAGGCTGTTGCAGCTGTTAGTACTGTTGGCATGTAGATATCAGCAGAGTAATAGTGTCAACTGACTGTTAAGGCAGCCTGGTTCACTTCAATGAGTAGTTTGGATGTTACTAATGAGCTGGTAGCCAAACAGATGATGCACGAATGAGCCAATGATACCGAGCATGAATTAAACAGCTGACCATCAGCTGATGCGAGTGTGACTTCTGTGCTCTGCCTTCACTGAATACTCTGTTGAGCAGTTACTAACAGTGAAATGGGGTTAATAATGTCTCCATGTGTTAACTCTTCACTTAACGCTTATGCTTCAGTGTTTTAATATCAAAATCACTTCCATTTTCAGGGAAATACACTTACTTGCATCCAATCAAATGTGATTTAGGGTGACTAGCTTCACCCATTTTAGAAAGCAACACTTGACCATTATCTTCTGGGTCAAAGCAAGCATTGCAATATCATAGAAGGAGGAAAAAGTGTGTTTGTGCTTCCAGAAGAATGGGGTTTAGGTCTAATTTATTCATTTTGAATCCTCCTTATCAAACAATGTGGGTGGTAATCTTTGACAGACTGTTCATAAGTGGACATAGTCACCATGAAGAAGCCCATTGGTTTGTGGACTACTTATTTGAAGCCTCGAGTTCGTCATTTTTGTCGAAGTGACAGGAGAGAGTAGAGCAAAGTACAATCGAACGCTGAATATTTCTAGGCGACCAAAATGTAAACACTCTGTATAATGGTTAAAGCTGTAAGAAGAAAACACCGACAACTTCCAGCCTGGAAAACGCCGTGTTAGCAATGTGTCAATCACTGTGTAGCCCCGCCCTAAAGCATATCCTGCTTTATGGTCTATTTGACTCTAAATTAACCATAATTTACTAAATGAACATCATGTTGTATTGAAGAAGACTTGAAACTAGAGATGGAGACCATAAGCTCATATTTAGAGTCGCCGCCCCCTGATGGACATTAGAGAGAATGCAAGTTTAAGACATGAAGCAATGGCTTTAAATTTTGGCTTTACATTTTTATAGAACTGTGTTTGCCGCGTGGCTCTTCTACAGCATAATATCTCCATCATTCCATATCAAGCTATTGTTAAGCTAAGCCCAAATTGAAGAAACCTGTTTTAAATTTGATTTAAATCCACCCACAATGATATCACATCCAGATATTCTGTTTGACTCAGAAATATGTCACATCTCTAACTACCATTTGACTGTGACTTTAAAGAAGGATGAACACGAGATGGAATGGTCTAGCTTACCTCCACTAAGAATCTCAATGGAGTGAACCGTAGCTGAAGTTGTGAGGAGGACCTTCCTGCCATAACCGATTGTAACACGGTGGTCTTCACTGTGTCCCGGCATCCATGGCTGCAGTCCTGGCTCCTTATCCGGACACACTGAAGGACACATAAAATACACCAACATTTAACTTCTAACGACACATAAAACTCATCTGTGGTGGAAAGTAACTAAGTGCATTTACTCGAGTACAGTACTTAAATACAATTACATTACTGGAGTATTTACATTTTATGCTATTTTATACTAAATTTCAGAGAGAAATCATTTACTTTTTACCCCACAACATACATTTTAGAGCTATAGTTTCTGGTTACTTTTGAGAACAAGCCTTTACATAAAAATACATATGATAGCCAAATAAAATACATTGTTAGAAAGTTTAAACCAGTGGTTCCCAACATTTTTGGCTTGTCTCCTCATATGACGTCATATAAAAAAACAGTGCAAAGTAAGGAAACCCTGTCACGATACAGATGGCTAAGTTGTTCACACTTCCACCAAAGAGACATATACCTGCTTGAGGCCCAAGGAGGTAAAATCATACATTAGTTAATTAGTTCATCATTGCAAGCAAACTTTAAACCAAATGGTTGTTGGGTCATTTAGCAGCCTCTGAAACCTTTCAGAGGCTGGATTTGAGGATCCCTTTCTAACAGACAATACAATATTTGTCCAACAAGAGGCCGTTTTTTTGCAAACTTTTTACACAACTACTTTGGTAATTTTTCATGGGTGTAAAACCATGAATAACTTGAAGAAGAGATTGTCCAAAAGTGCTCACAATAATCTCCATCAACAACACTACCAAGACACACTAAAGTCAGTTCTTGGAGAGAGGTCAAGGAGGCAGTGGGATACAGGTAGGAGGACGCTATGATGATAGGCTTTCATCCAACCTTTTAGTGTGTTCATTTACACTTTTAGCCTTTAGATGTGGTAGACGCCATGTTGCACAAACTACCTGGATTCTTCATTCTGACTAATCTCCCCTCCGAGAATCGTCATCTTATTGTTTTTGAGCGGTTTGCGTGTTCCTGTGACCCTGGGAGTTGTCTGGAACCAAACTCCTGGAGAAGGGCTGGACTCTCCTTTTCTGGAGCTGCCAAGGTTGAGAGGCCCTGGACGGGTGTGGGGATACTCAGGAGCACCTGGCTGAGAGAAGCTGTGTTAAAGTTCTTCTCTCTGACTGCTGTTTGTTTCTATGCAATCTAAAGTGGTGCTTTGTTCTAGTCATGGATTGGCTACAATAACACCATGTTTGAGCATAGGGTGGTTCATGTATTTAAGTGCAGTGGCACCTGAACACCTTAGGCCAAAGATCGATGATACACTTTGTGGTTGTATCAAAGATCCTGATGAAGTGGATCTTTAAGTCTCGCCTCCGAAAGAATTTCTAATGCATTAGATTAGGGACTTGGACATGGAGTTATGTCCAATGTAGGTTTGTGCCTGACATGGTAGCAAACATCAAAAAGAAGAGAAGGCTGTTAACTGAAGGAGGAGGCCTTTCGGGCCTGAGGTCTCCTGAAGCAGCAGGCCGGCATGGGAGTCCAGAAGGACTGTGGCTTTGGTGGTTGCAGAAGCAGAAACCTGAGAGTGGGTGGAGTTTGAGGAGGCTATGGAAAATACTTTTGGTTGGCCTGAAGGAAGTTCTGGCAAACCAACGCACGACTTACTTGGGTAAAGCAGTGTTTGGCACAGGCTGTTTTCAGCAAGTGAGGAGAACTGCTGACCTTGACTGGGGATGTCGATTGGATGAAAGCGCTTATGAAGAACTTCTAAATTCAAATGTCCTCTGTGGAGGAGGCAGGGTTTGAGGACTTGTGAGAAGCACCACCCATCAGGCTTGAAAACACCTCGGGATCCCTCAGAGCAAGTCGAAAAACATTGCTGGGGAGAGGGATGTGTAGACTACTTTTATTTTTATTTTTCCAGGACAAATCGGAAATACAAAACACTTGGAAATGTTTGGATTACAAGGAGCAAAACACAAAATGTAAAAGTATATATAAAATTTGGGTTTGTGTCAGTCCCTCGGAATCTATAAACAATGGCTTCTTTAAGAAACTGTGATAAACGCTTTAAAATCATGTTGAAATAAATGGAACAAAATCTGTAAGTTACAACACAACAGATTGATAAAATCATTTGTAGGCCTATTTGCACCTCAGGTTTGTCAGTGAGGTCTCTTTCATTCCTTGTCTACTAACTACTGTAACTTTCTCAAGTCCTCTACTATCTAAATGGGGATACAATAGCACACAAGGTTATTGGATTGCTCACTCAAGAGAGTGACTGATAAACCCATGTGTCTGCCATTGTCAGCATAGCACTGAGAAACTGTGTGCAACTGTCCAGCCTGCCCAATAGAGTTTCAATCTATTGCTTTCTGGTGTGTATGTGGTGGTTACCTCATCTCCCTTCCACCAAATGGATCCGTCAATGGCATTGACTGGTCAGGGACCTGAATTGTCAAGTAGATTTCCCAGAGGGCTAACACAGATTGATAGGTGGTGAGGTGCAATCAGCTGGCTTCTGCTGTTTGGCTCTGGATTGTCTGCTGCCCTGCTCTGAGGCACTATTTCCTATACCCTTCTCAATTATATCAATAAGCTATCCATCTTAACATACTAAGTCTAGTGACATTAGCATTGTGTCCAAGTCGCTTACTACTGTGCATACTGAGTGTCAAACTTTGTCAAGCTTTATTCTTGATGTTGGAAAAAGTGTTGGACAAAACAAATCTTAACTCAAAGTACACATACGAGTGTTTTTCTTGAGCTTCATGATATGGAGATAGCTCAGGTGTCATGACGTGACCTAAGGGTAGAATTTTGGTCATATGATAACAGGTGGTTATATATGGAGAGAGATAGTGACCCTTATCTCTACTCAGATGGTCTCTGATGATGAAAACTGACTCCTGATCAATGACCTTTGAACTGTTCACAGTGGATGTGAGCTGGTCTGGTGTTAATAAAAAGCTGACGTTTTAGCAGTTCACAGGATGACAACTTGTCCATCTATACTACAACTGAGAAAACTCCATCTGCTGAAAACCATCACAAGCGGTTGAAAGATATTTTTGTCAAACTACTGTGCAAATCATCTTACTTGTTTCAAATAACAAGGGACATAGAAAGTGTGTAAAAGAAGTGACAGAACAACATTGATCAACACAAATTGTCAGACACATAACATTAGCAGTTAGCACCTTAACATGTTTGTGTTCTAGCCAAAGGTAGCCATTAGCTTTAGCTAGAACACATACTGTACATGTTAAGGGCTACCATAACACATCCAGATCCAGATTGGGGATTTAGATTGAAACGTATAGTTTGAAGCCCTTCTCCTTTTTCGTTGCTAACGTATGGCACAATGCTTGAATAACATTGTTGACATTCAGTGACTACGTGGAAAACCTGGAGAAAATGCCATAACTGTCTGCTGGTATTACGAGCGCTGGAAGTTGCAAGTTCAACTCCAGTAGCACAGCTGCTATTTAATTAGTTATTGTGTTTATGTGGAAATACTGTATTGTCAGAGGGACCCCTGTTTATATAACCTGTCACTAAGTTTCTGTGGATTTATTGGTGGTCACTTAACTTGTGTTGCCTTGTCTCTTTTACCTTCTTGTTTACCGTGGGCTGCTTTTATTTAAAAAATGGACTCACACAGACATGATGTGGAAACGCTACATACAGCATTAAAAAGTTACTCATCAAGACTTCAAAGCGTTACACCTGGCTTTTTCACAACTCTAATTGCAGAAAAGCATAATAACTGACTGAGCAGATGTATTATTGTCTTAAGCTACCACTGTTTACGCTGTGGTGTGTTCATGCTGTGAGCTTGTTCAGGGTAGACCAGTCCAAATACACCAGAGCTCAGTTTAGCTCCTGATTCCACCATCTGGCAGTACACTCAACAAACAGCCTACTGTGTCTTCATATTGTTTGTTTGATACACTTCAACATGGGAGCAAAACAAATAAATATTGGAACTCATCAACAATTGCTCAGTAACAGAAATCAAATATTAACAAACCAAAAACTCAACTCTATTGAGCTGATCTGGGTGCTAAATTCTTAAGAACATAATTATTAATCCGGCTGCGCTACAATAGTAATTAAAAATGTTTAAATTAATTATTACATCAGAGTGAATAAGAGGATTAAGAGACAGTTTAACTGGTCATAAAGTTACAAAAACCAAGCGTTCACACAATTAGTTTTTCAGAGATGCTTATGGAAGACGGAATCAAATGAAATCACCCAATTCCAATCAGGGATGCTCCGACGGTGCAGGCTGGAGATGTCAAAATACCACTGTGCAATTTCTTTGTGTCGAAGGACTGAAAGATAAATGTAAAGATCTTCAGATTTTATTCCAACTCATTAACTTAATAATAAAAACTATTATTAAATTTATAACGACTTAAAAATGTATTTTTTAATTTTTTTATTTCAACTTTATTTTGGCGGGATAATCCCATGGAAATTTTAAATCTCATTTGCAAGTGGCTCCTGGCCAAGATGGTAGCGTGAAAGGTTCACAAGCAACACATAAAAAACACAAACATTATAAACTTAGAACAAAAGAAGAAAACACAGACTTAAAACAAAGTAGCAAATTGCATCAACCAAGGTCATTCAGCCTTCTTTGAAATGCTCTTAAATTATTATTGTGATTGTCTCTCATTTACATACTGTTATGATATCAGATGTCCATGTTAAACATAGCCAAAGTACCAAAACTTGAGTTGAAGGTATGTAAAAAATGCTCCCTACAAGACAAACGTCAGCTAGGAACCTTTTTGAAGAACTCATTACGTTCTGACCGCAGGGAGCAGGGGTCCAAACTAAGCTCCTGTTCAGCAGGATGTGATGTTTCACACTTCTGTCTGAGGAGGTAAAAGTCATAGTTGTTTTATATCATTTGCCCAGAGACTAACAATATGCTCATTAATTCATACAAAAATGTCTCAATAAATTTCCAAGGTAGGTTTACTTAGTTTTTAGATTTACTTGCGCAAAAAAACTAGTTGGTTAGGCTTCAGAAAACTTTTAGCTGGCCTGTAACTGTTAGTTAGTTAAGTTCGGAAGTTATGTAACAAAACTATGTTGACTTGGTTTCACACGGGACATAAACTGGGAGAAAGTCCTGTGTTTATTTGACCCTTCTAACCTTCCCTCTCACCTTCCCTACACAGACTTAAAGAAAGAAAAGTGATGCTTGGCAATATCGTCTTTGTTACACGCATTCCAAAAAAAGCATTAAATTGAATTGAATTTAAAAGAGGAAGCTATGCTACATCTAGGCAGTGCTGACAGCACTGAAATAATTTAAATTAGAAGTCTGAACACTGCTGTGTTTGTGTTGACATAAAATGTGTTTTAGCAAGTAGTTTGTGGGGACACTTGCATGAAATGGAGAGGAAATTAACTGATGGAATACATTTGTCTAAACAAAACAAATCCATCTTAACAACACATTTGCTAATGAGCTGAAGCCTGCTTATCGTAACATTTTGCCTATTTCCATTTCCATATTTCCTACTTAATGTGTATTATTATGAGGCTTGTCTCTATATCCATTATAAATCATCCTCATTTTATTTTCTGCTTACTGTACTTATGTACTGGTATTCTAATGCTGTTTCCTTTTTAATGTTCCACAGATGGCAGGGATTATTCAACTGTCATTTAATGAAACTGAAAAGTAAATCACTGTCCAAATATTTCCGTAACTTTCTGAAACCTACAATCCAACACTCACTTGGAATATAGCTGTCAAAAGCAGACAACAGGTCGTATAAAACTAAGTCTGTTCGAGCATTGGTCCTGTTGTAAAGTTTCGTCTCCAGTCCTCACTGCTTCTTTGTTTTTGCACTGCACCATGACTACCTTCCAATAGAAATCGGGCCAGTTTTGGATTTTTCATATTTCTGCTAATGAAGTTTATGCTCAAATTACTTGATATCAGCCCAACGGTCCACTTAAACAGGCACAGGGTGTCAGGTATGACAATTTTAGATGTTATCCCGTGTGGTGCATCATAGTGGAAGAAAACCAATTCTGTGTATTGAAAGCATCACAAGGTGTCGATGGCAAATAGCTGTTCTGCATCATACATGGTTGTTCACATTCCTCATCATGAAAGTCTGTCTCCTCGTCAGGTCATGAAGCCGACTGCAACCTTGGTTTTTGGCAACCTTGGACCCGTTGACTAACATGTCTCTTGGCCAAGTTATGGCAGGAACTCAAGTCACTAATGACCTAAACTGACATAGTGCAATCTTGAAAGACATAAATTGGATGTAGTTCAATCTTGTCGGTGGCTCTATTCCCTGTTCCTGCTTGTCATGCTAACTCCACAGTTTTTCTATTAAAGGTTCTGAATTCGACACTACTCGCATATGAGGAATTGTTTCCTCTCGGCTCTCAATATGGAGACGGCTGAGCTGGCGGCTAACAGCTAACAGTGCTAACAGCACTAAAGGTGGAAACAACAGCTACAGTGCTGTCAAAGCTAACAGTGATAACCTGGGGGAGATTCGGAGGGTCGGTGCTACACTTGGTCGGGACGGCAGTGAGAGCAGTGCAGAGCTGCGGTGTTTTAGCCAGTGGGGCAGGCTCACAGGTCTTACATGCACTAACAGCTCGGACAACACACAAAGAGAGAGAGAGAGAGAGAGTGACTTCATTCTCTGCTCAGGTAGACATTACTTTATGAATGTAAGATAGTCCTGATGGGCAGGTGGCCCCTGCCATCAGTGTATGAATGGGTGTGAATGGATGAATGATGACATGTAGCGTTAAAGCGCTTTAAGTGGTCGGAATACTAGAAAAGCACTATACAAGTACAGTCCATTTACCAGAATTTATCATGATGTCACTGCATTCCGCTGTGTCTTGAGCTTCTCATTTAGATGCATCCCCCTCAAATAAAAAGCCAGCTGTCTCAGATTCAGATGTTCTTGTGGTTGTGATTAGAAAGATTAGCTTACAGCTCAGAAAGCCTCTGTTTCCAGTCACAATAAATCTGCAATTAAAAAAACCAGTGAGAGAGAATTAAGAGATGTGTTAAGTTTATAGTGGATGGACTTTTTCTAATACCACCATTCCACACACACACAGAGCAGGGCCAGGATCAGTTCAACATGATCAACATGATCTCATTTCCACTCGTCCTATTTTGCTGCTTGGGCCTTTTAAGTAGTTCACGCATGGTTAACGTTGTGAAAGGATTAAGGTTAACATTGTAACACGTGATTACCATTGTGAAACTATCAAGGTTAATGTTAACACATGTTATCGTGAAACAGTCGAGGTAGCGTTGTAACACACATTTAAAAGGAAACTGTCAAGGTAAATATAACATGTGGTTACCATTGTGAAACTGTCTAGGTTAACGTTGTAACATGTTTATTGTGAAACGTTTGAGGTTAACGTTGTAACATGTGTTTAACGTGAAACTATCTAGGTTAACGTTGTAACACACGTTTAATGTGAAATGGTTGATGTTTTTACGTTACAACACCTTGTTAATGTTGTGAAATTGTTACCTTTGGTAACCTTTAGTTAACATGAAACGGTTGAGGTTAATGTTGTAACATGTGGTTAACATGAAACAGTTGAGGTTAACGTTGTAACATGTGGTTAACATGAAACAGTTGAGGTTAACGTAAAAATAAAAAAATAAAAATTTGCTTTCACACAGGACACGAATGCATGTCTCCTGAGTAAAAGTCCCCCCTTAGCGGACTTCCTTGTTCGTTATACTACATTTGTTGCTCTGAACGTTTAATAATGACTTAAGTGGTTTTACATTAGACTTAGTTTAAAATCGGTTGCGTCTCATACAGACTAAAGGGTGCCTTGTGCGTTAGCCTCTGCTTGAGCGTAGGGACCAGGCTGCTTTGCTCGGCTCGATGCTCGAGGAAGAAATCTACTTTCCCACATGACCTACAGACAAACATAAGTCTCCACTGTATAAGTGTGTTTCTTTTGTGTCCACTTTTATGTACGTACAATATCTGTGAGTGTATTTATATGCTATATTTAAGTCACCGTGGCTTGACCAAAGCCTTGATAGAGTGCGAAAAGAACCCAGTACTGCTGTTCAGATCAGTGAAGGCAAACACCAGAGCTCTCTCTCTGTCAAGGCTCTCTTCTCTCATCCTTCAACTGTTCAGCTGTAACTCCATAAGATGTTTGTTGCATTGCAGGTGAATACTGTGCACCACTGTTACCCTGTGCCAACTAACTAGATTACCGGTTTTATGCCTCCACCAACCAGAGACATGTTGCAATTTACATCCATGTCTGCCCAAAATTTCATCATTTCATAATTTTACCTTGTCAAACATTTGTGTGAAATTTTCATAATGTCATATTTTTGAGCGTCAACCACTTCATTTCCTGCATTTTGTTGCAGACAAAAGTTCTGGAAAAGCCTTGATTCACTCAATGTTGGTATTAATTTGGGGCAAACCGACCCTTTGATATCTACTTATTTGCAATTGCACATTGGTTACCAACAGAATATCACAAGTACTGTCAATCAATCTGAAAGCTCCAGTTCTTTGGCACCGACATCACGTATCACGTTGTGCTATGTCTTAGGCACTAATCCATCATAGTGCTCGACAGCTGCTGGTGTTTACACATGGAGCAGATGCTACAGGCACACTTTGGGTACACTTCACTGCAGACTTTTGACTGTAATAATGTACAGTGATGTGTCAAACACAATGTTGTAGGATAAAGTGATAGACTTTGTAATGACAAGGCAAAACTGATTAAACTAAAACATGGAATATCTATGTTTGAAAGTGACGCCATTGCTTTGAATGTCAATTGCTCCAAAATAATATACTTGTTTCAAGACACCCACATGAATAATTCAGTGATCAGTTCAACACTATTCACCCACCCTTTTATTTAAAAAGCTGGATTTTTATTCATGTCTTTAGTTGAAGGTCAACATCATGAAATATGGATGTTTAGCTAAGATTTTTGTCCAGCCTTCTCTCTCTTTACACACATTTCTCGTTCAGCACTATTCTCTAATGTCAAGCAGTTTAATATCAGTGTTTTTTAGGGTGATAGAATTGTATTTCATGTAAATGTAAAGTGTCCTTTGCCCATTATTTTTAAGAAAATAAAGAGAAGTAAAAAGAAAAGAGGAAACATGTCCTCACCTGCTTGGATGCTGGGGAGCAGCAGAGCGGCCAGAAACATGGCACATGTCTTCATCTCTCTCAGTCCGCTGCTGACCAACTTTACACCTTGGAACACTTGGAAGGTTGCTTCAGACCTCCCAGTGGGCGTCACGTCAGAGGGAGTGCGGAGTTCACAGCGGGAGGCCACCAAAGGCACCTAGAACATCACATTGAAATGCAGAGGACTCAGTAAGACATGTACAAATAGGTGACTCCTGGTGGACAAGCAGGTCATATAGTAGAATAGTCTTTTAGAACACCATCTGTTGGTTTTAGCTTCATATTTAAAGTCATTATGACAGTAGATTATTCTACTGAATGTAGGGAGACAGTAGAGACACTTTGAGCTGCATGAGCCACTGTTTTTCATTGCCAGGTCGTCAGATACCGACGCTTTGTCTCTCAGCGTCTGATACGCAACTTTGTCTCCTGCAAAACAATGTTTCCATACAACTAAACTGCATTTCTAATTATGTTTCCAGAAAAATCTCCTGTTATCTGTCAGTTTTAGTTAACGTTGAAAGTTGGAAAAAAACAAAAAGCAACTGCACACACTGGTCGTGCACACCCCGTCCCAATAATGAGGAGGTTGAGGTGAATGGTGGATAGTAGGGGTGGGAATCACCAGAGGTCCCGCGATACGATATTATCACGATACTGCGATATTCTGATTATTGCGATAACATATATTGCGATTTATTACTTTTTTCAACTTCAAATTATGTCCCCAAAGGAAAACTGTGTCAACATGTTTTATCTAACAAGATAAAGTTTTCAGTCTGTTCATCTCACTTCAATCATTTTTATTGCAGCAGAATAGGATTGTCAAGCAGACAGACTGACCAACAATGTCATAAATGTTGCATGAACCTGACAAACTGAACTGTTTGTATTACTACATAGTCCAACTTAACTAAATGCAAACGTGTGGACTCAGTATATGAACTATAACTTATATAAGTAGGATATAAGAGTTATATAACTCAGTATAACTTGCGATGCGTGGACGTCGAGGGCAGAGAGACAGTTATGCGCTGCACTCTCCCCATGAGCCTGGCTACTGTTGGCAGATTTAACCCCGTTGTGAGGCCAGATGTCTCTATCTTTGTTTTGACCAACTTCCTACCAATCACGCTGACCCGGGACCTTTGCTGACCTCACCAGAAAATGACTCAGCACCATCTAGTGGACTGAGAAAGCAATTGATTTAAATTATTATTTATTTTTTAATAGTTTATATAATAAAAGATTGATACTTGGCGTCCTGTATCGATACAATATCGCCACGCAAAATATCGTGATACTATGCTGTATCGATTTTTCCCCCCACCCCTAGTGGATAGTGGCGACTGTGGCTAAGTGGAGAGCAGGGCCGTCCTTCAATCAGAGGTTCGACCCCCGGCTCCGGCTCTGCTAGTCGTGTGTCGATGTGTCCTTGAGCAAGACACTTAACCCCAAAATTGCTCCCGTAGCTGTGCCTACGGTGTATGTGATGGAATTTGAATTGTAAGTCGCTTTGGATAAAAGCGTTTGCTAAATGACTGTAATGTAATGGATCTAACAAACACAGGACTTTCACCTACTGTTCTTTTCCTTTGTGAAATCTAACATAAACATTGACTTATGTTAAGTTGCCCAAGTCACCTTAAGTAACGTACTTGACTTACATACAAAACTGAAGTTACGTAACAAACTTACTTATTTTAACCCAAAACATGATCCTTTGCTAAACCTAACAAAGTAGTTTTGTTGCCTGAACCAAAGTTCCAAGTGCATTACAAAGTTCAGCCAAGGGGTCCTCAAGCGTCGTGATGATTTGGGAATGAGAATGGGTTGATTTTGCTTGATAGCTGATCTGATAACTTCATATCTATTATATGCAAAATGTTCAATTGTGTCTCTTACAGTGTGCAGAACTGTTTAACTCCACCTTCAAACTATACCACCATCTTGATTACTGTATACTCACTAGCAGTCTTTGCTATAGCCTTCCATCACATTCCTTGTGTTTAGCATACATTGGTTGTAAACCTGTGCTACAATTTGCATCTACACTCTCTTGACTTATCACCAGCTCGCCAATTACAGTCTTTTGTCTCAACCAAGTCAAGTTGGCTTTTCTTTATTTTATTTTTTGCTTTTCCAGTCTCTCTTAGCAGACTGGAGAGGCAGCACTGTTTTCAGTCAGCAATGCAAAATTCTTCAATATCACGTGCACTGTTCTGACTGTTTGACTACAGCCCTGCAGTCAAGCACAAGTCTGATGAGGATCAAGCTTGTCCAAGGCTACATTTGCACACTACGCTGTGCATGGGAAATACTGTGATTGTCAGACATTTTTGGACAGATAAACAAGCAAGACAAATGTTTGTGCATCTGAAATGTATCAAATACAACACAGTAGGATTTGTTCCCCATTGTTTAAAAAGTGGCGCTAACTGCAGCTACATAAAAAAGTCTGTAAATCATGCAATGACATATAGCATTTTTAATTACTCACTTAACGAATGAACAGTGTTTACTGCAGATTAATTCACTGAAAGGTACAGCAGCTCTGCCTTGTGAAGATTCCCCCAGCATTCCATGACCTCCAGGAAATAGTGTGAATGGCTGTAAACTGTGCAGCATCCTGATGCTGGCTTTGATTAGATGCAATTAGCTCGTGCTGCAATGTAGAGAGCTCAGTAAAAGGCTGTGGGCATAAAGGAATGCGATAATTATTTATTTATTTATTTTATCATGCAATTAGCTTGCTGTTTGACTATTGGTGACAGAGTTGGTGGGAGTTTCTCTGTGCAGCGAGTTGTAGTTTGCTGGCCTATTTACCATGCATGTTGTCTTAATGAGCCACACACAGCCTCATATTTCATTCAATTTGTTTGGTAGATGTTGCGCTGCTATTACAGCTGGTCCCTCTATTACTCTTGCCAGCTCACTTCATCTCTGTCCAAATGTCTATGTAAGTGTGTGCATATGCTTTGCAGTTGATCTGGCTATGTGAAGCCTATATATGCATGTGCACACTCACAGGTCACGGCTGTATAGTAATCATTGCAAGCTTTCTTCCAGGTAACCTCCTCTGCATATCAATTCAAATCATAAGATTATCTCATCTAGCTGCTGCTCCCTGTGCTACAACAGCAACAAAAGAAAATGAAAGATTCCATTTCTTGCTGGCAAAGTGCTCCTTTTAGCAGCTATGTGACTTCTGGTGGTCACAGTTACTGCAGATTCAAGGACATTTCACATAATTTGTAATCTTCTGTTTAACGAGAAATTGTGATGGTGGAGAGCTGTTTGGGTGCTGCAGGAATCCACAGAGTCTCCAGTAAAATTATATTTTACAGCAATTGTGTTTATCATTCATCTTTGCTTCGAGATTGTACAGTAGAAAGATGATTGCTCTCATAGGTTTTACACAGCACCATTACTACAACATGCACTGCACAGACTGTAAACGACCTATAATAAATCATCTCAGTCCTTAAGACCCAATCACATCAAATTAAACTAAGACCAAGGACGCCTGAGATCAGAGAATGTACTGTATGTAGCAGCATTCTATAATTATTCTGCATGCTCTGCTCCACTGCGCTCCACAGAGACCATGGTGAATGCTGCCGTTTAGTTGCATTATGGGATGTAAGTTTAAGCATAATCCCAGATGAGGAGGGTGTACTAGCAGGTAGTTAGTTAAGTTACTCAGGAGGAAGTGGTGGTTAAGATAAGATAATCCTTTATTAGTCCCTCTGTGGTTACCAGAGTGTTCTGAGCCCTGCGGGACCCAACGGGTCGGGCTGAGTTCATACAATTATTTACAAATGATGTTCGGGTTTGACATGATTGACATGTTGCTTGAAGTTCTATTTAGTAAAAATAAAGAGTGACGGTTTCAGGCTGGGCTTGGTTACTAATCTCTTGTGCGCTGTTTGGACAGGTTCAAAGTCGAACACTTTGAACCTTCATGGCATTTATTGTTTGACTGTATTTATTTATGTGACAGAGATCAAAATTCCTGGAGGAACAGGAGTGACCCACACATGTGGTGGTGTGGAAGGAAATGGGAGAGTGATTATAGGGCTGTTCAACTGTATTCTCATTGATGCATTATGAGTGAGATGGTGTCATGAGGGGGCTCACATGTTTCCTTCTCGGGGCCAAAAGGCTCCTGACTTGGCAACAAAAACTGGTTCAGTGCATGTGTTACTGGCTCTCAGTCAGGAATGCAGCCTCAGAGGAATACACTACACCTTTGATCGACATTGTATAACCTCGGTCGAGATATATATATATAGATATATAGATATATAGATATATATATAGATAGATAGATAGATAGATAGATAGATAGATATATATATATATATATACACACACAGTGGGGCAAAAAAGTATTTAGTCAGCCACCAATTGTGCAAGTTCTCCCACTTAAAAAGATGAGAGAGGCCTGTAATTTGCATCATAGGTATACCTCAACTATGAGAGACAAAATGAGAAAAAAAAAAAAATCCAGAAAATTACACTTAAAGAATTTATTTGCAAATTATGGTGGAAAATAAGTATTTGGTCAATAACAAAAGTTCATCTCAATACTTTGTTATATACCCTTTGTTGGCAATGACAGAGGTCAAACATTTTCTGTAAGTCTTCACAAGCTTTTCACACACTGTTGCTGGTATTTTGGCCCATTCCTCCATGCAGATCTCCTGTAGAGCAGTGATGTTTTGGGGCTGTCGCTGGGCAACACGGACTTTCAACTCCTTCCACAGATTTTCTATGGGGTTGAGATCTGGAGACTGGCTAGGCCACTCCAGGACCTTGAAATGCTTCTTACGAAGCCACTCCTTCATTGCCCGGGCGGTGTGTTTGGGATCATTGTCATGCTGAAAGACCCAGCCACGTTTCATCTTCAATGCCCTTGCTGATGGAAGGAGGTTTCCACTCAAAATCTCACGATACATGGCCCCATTCGTTCTTTCCTTTACACGGATCAGTCGTCCTGGTCCCCTTGCAGAAAAACAGCCCCAAAGCATGATGTTTCAACCCCCATGCTTCACAGTAGGTATGGTGTTCTTTGGATGCAACTCGGCATTCTTTCTCCTCCAAACACGACGAGTTGACTTTTTACCAAAAAGTTCTATTTTGGTTTCATCTGAC